GAAAGAAAGAAGGGAAGGAATGAAGAAAGGAAGGAAGGAAGGAAGGAAGGAAGGAAGAAAGAAAGAAAGAAAGAAAGAAAGAAAGAAAGAAAGAAAGAAAGAGAAAGAAAAAGAAAGACACAGACATTGTTGAGAGAACCAGCCTGGCTAATTTGGCTTATAAGAGACAAAATGAGATGTTATTAGGGAAATTACCTAACAAGGGGGTCTTGCCCATGCAGCTGAGAGATGGCCCATTCTGGGAGCAGTGAATGCAGTTAGGGCCCAGGAGAGTACTGCAGAATGGTTGGGAACAGCATGTGACTTCCACTAGACTCCCACAGAGCCAATGGTGGTTCAAGTCCCAGACCCGGTGGCTTAAAAACTCATGCCAGGGGGACCAGCAGTTAGCATAATGGCTATGTCGCTGGACTCCCATGTAGTAGACCGCGGTTTGAGTCCCGGACCCGGTGGCTTAAAACTCACGCCTGGGCACATATGCGTGCATGCCCAAGATCCCCAGAGGAGAAAGGAGGAGAAGGGATTGTGGTGTGGCCATCCATCCTGGGGGTGATTTCTCGCTTTCTGTCTCTCTGTCTCTCTCTGTCTTTCTGGCGAGCGCAGGTGCCCTATAGCAAAAACCTCTCCAAAAAAAAAAACTCATGCCAGGCACATGTGCATGCATGCCCAGGATCCCAAGAGGAGAATGGAGGAGAAGGGATTGTGGTGTAACCACCCTCCTGGGAGGTGATTTCTCTCTTTTTGTCTCTCATTCTCTCTTCTGTGAGCGCACACACCCTATAGCAAAAAAAGAGAGAGAGAGGAAAAGTGAGAAATCATCCTTCAGGGGGATGGCCATGCCTTTCTCCTCCATTCTTCTCCAGCATAAGTGCATGCATGCACAAGTGCCCGATGTGATTTTCAAGCCACCAGATCCAGGACTAAAACCATCGTCTGCTATGTGGGAGTCCAGTGACATAACCACAATACCATCTGCTGGCCCCAACAAGTCTTTTTTTATAATATCCTTGAGGGTCTAATTTTGATGTTGGCTGTCATTCTTTTTTTTATTTTTTTAATTTTTGCTATAGGGTGCGTGCGCTCGCCAGAGAGAGACAGAGAGACAGAAAGCGAGAAATCATCTCCCAGGGGGAATGGCCACACCGCTATCCCTTCTCCTCCATTCTCCTCTTGGGATCTTGGGCACGCACGCACACGAACCTGGCATGAGTTTAAGCCACCGGGTCTGGGACACGAACCGCGGTCGACTACATGGGAGTTCAGTGACATAGCCATTACGCTAACTGCTGGTCCCTTGGCTGTCATTCTTAATGTGTGTTTGAGCCTCTGGAGTGTGAGTTGGTGCCCAGGGTGGGAGTGAGAGAGCTTTCTCTTTACACTTCCAGGGTCCCAGGCAATCACTGGCCTGGGATCAGTCTTCCCACTCACCTTGGAGCCCTTGTTTCATGCAGAGGGTAAGTTTGAGCCTTAAGTTTGTATGAAGGGAGGGATGTGGCGACCAGTTTCCAGGATATTCCAGGTTGTTCGCTTCATCCCTTACCCTTCCACCTCTTGCTCTGACTGGCCAATAACTTTGCTGGGTGAGCAGGTGACAGGGAGGGTGCAGAGTTTTCCTCCCTGCCCCTTTCCTTGGGGCTATCAAATGCTATCTCTTTTCCAATGTCCTGCCTCAGCAGGGCTCAAGGGTTGGTCTCCTGTCTTCTCGTAACCTTAATTCAAAAGCTTCCCTCTGCAACAAGAGGATGGCTGCCTTTGGCTCCTATCTACCCCGCAATGGTTCTGTCTTCAACACATGACCCTGAGGCTCCCTGGAGCCCTAGAGCCCTAGCGCAACCAAGCCTTGGTAGGTCTTGCCCAGCATTCCTTCATTTTGCATAATAAAAGCACTGAGTTTTATTGCCAGACCAGAAGCAGAGCCTGTAGGAGGCCAACCCTCTATGGCCGACCCTCCATTGAGCTCTGTTCCAGGCTGTCTGTAAGGCTCGTGTTCCACACAAATGTTCTCTATTACCAAGGACGTGATAACTTCAGAAAGCCAGGAACCCCATAGGTTCCCAAAGGTTGGGTGCAATTGTGGTAAGAGAGTTTCTAGTGTGAGAGTTGTTAATCCTTGCACTGGGCTAAGCATTTTGTACACTTCCTCTCCTCTGTCTCTCAACACCTCCTATCAAGGAGGCACCGGCAGTGTGCACATTTCCTAAGCCTGGAAAGCGAGGCTCTGAGAGGAGAAGCAACTTGCACAAGCCAGTCAGTAAATGATGGAGCTGGGGCTTGAGCGCAGGCAATCGGACTCCATCGGCACTGTGCTAATAGGCATGATGTGGGTGGGTTGGCATGATGCTGAAGTAAGGCCAGCACTGGAGAGCTGTCCAGTCCAGCAGGTGGACAGGGCTCTGCCTATAGGGTGGGAGAGCAGGGATGGGGCCAGGGCAGGTAGTTTGTGTCTCAGCAGCATGATGAAAGAGGCCACCAAGTGGATGAGAATGGAGTGGGGGACGGGGTCTACCTGGATATATCAGAGTGACCTGGAGCTTGAAGCAATTTAGAGATTGTCTCATCTATCTCCTCCTTCTCCACTTTTGCCATCTGTCTGTCTCAGCATCCTGAAACACTTTCTCCTACTTCCATTTTGCCCATGATGCTGGGTCAGCTCTGCCTCATCTGCCAGCCCCAGGCTCAGTGGCCTCTTCCCCCAGGATGCCTTCTCTAAACTCCATCTCTCCCCTGGATATTGGAGTGCTCATTCAGGGCTTATACTGCACGTGGGTTTCTCACAGATTGCCTGGTCATTCTCCACCTATAAAGTAGACTCCTCTTGAACTCATTTTGCAAGTGAAGAGACTGAGGCTCAGGGAGGCTAAGAGGCCAGGGGCCTGCACTGTATTTGCACTGGACTTGAGTGACTGCCCGCCCCAGACTCTGTCTCTTGCCCTCCAGCTGCTTATGACCCTTCCATCTCCACTGGAGATGCTCATAGTCTAGGGAGGGAGGTCAGTGAGTAGAAGGGGACAGATATCAGCAGGTGACACAGGAAGGTTATAATGGCAGCCATGAGAACAAGAACCATTGTGTTGGGCAGGTGGCAGGATCCAAGCATGAGGCCAAGAGCTTCACACACAGATCAACTTTGATTCTCAACTTTCCATGAGGAAGTTACTATGGCTATGTCCCCATTTTACAGCTGAGGAGCCTAAGGCACAAGCAGAGTGGTCATTGGCTGAAAGTCGCAGAGCTAGGGATTGATGTTCTGGGATTTAAGCTTACGTCTTTGAATCCCAGAGCCTGGCACAGTGCAGGTGTTCGAGAAATGCCACTTTCCGACAGCATGAGCATTATGCATTTGTGCAGGTTGTATGATCGTGTCAAGGGTGCTCGGGAGTAGGCAATGGGTCATGCCCCCCAGCCTTTCAGAACCTGGCCAACCAGCTCACATGCCCTTCTCCTCCAGTGCCCTAGTGGCACCCCAATGGCTTGGGTATTCTGTGTAACAGGGGCCTTCAGGCATTGTCAGCAGCCCAAAGAGGGAGCCATTTGGGAAGTCAAGAATGGGCATTCCATGGATCCTTGAGGAGCCATTTACCAGGCACCCTTCCTCCCAGGATGCCCTAGGACCTGGACCTGATTCCAGTCTTTCATCTCTCCTCCTCACAGGGAGTCGGGAAGCAGCCTTCACATATGCCATTATTGCTGCTGGCGTGGCCCATGCCATCACAGCTGCCTGCACCCAGGGCAACCTGAGCGACTGTGGCTGCGACAAGGAGAAGCAAGGCCAGTACCACCGGGACGAGGGCTGGAAGTGGGGTGGCTGCTCTGCCGACATCCGCTACGGCATCGGCTTCGCCAAGGTCTTTGTGGATGCCCGGGAGATCAAGCAGAATGCCCGGACTCTCATGAACTTACACAATAACGAGGCAGGCCGAAAGGTAGGCAGCCAGGGAGGGAGCCGGGCGGCTCTGGCTCTGGCAGAGGCGCTGCACGACAGCTTGTTCGTCATATCTGGTGCTGGGTGTCTGGTGATGAGCCGCAGGACTCTCCCTTTAGCCTCACTGTGTGCAACTCTGTCCTGGATTTGCCACCAGTCAGGGTTCGTGCATGGCATGAAGGGTGCCAATTACTATTGTGTTTCTGAAAACAAGTAAGATGTGATTCAGAAAGGTGGAAAGAGGGACAGAAGTGAACTCGTCGCACAAAATTCGCTGTGCAAAACTCTAACCAAAAGTAAGGGCTGAAGTAAGCTCAGGAGGGATCATCCATAGGGATCAGCTGCCAGAGCAGCTAACCTATCCTCAGTCACCTTAAGCAAGACCTGGAGCTCAAAACGAAGGTGACTATCCCATTTTTATTGCCTCTGATTCTCTGGATTCTGTGCTCAGAAGAAAGCTCAGAAGGAAGTCAAGGATATTCCAGGATATTTCTCATAGAAGGAGGGATATAAAGGGGGCTGGACATCCCCTCCTGTGAGGAGCTAGCTGTCCCAGAATAGGAGCAGATGGATCTGCAAGTCCACAATGCAGAGAAAGGGCCCAAGGAGTGTCGAGCACCACAGAGAGGCAGGTCCTGCCAGTGTGAGGTCCAGGTATTGCAAATGAGAAACCAACTGAGTTACCAATAAAGGAGTTAGCTACTCATGTGAGGAGGTATTCAAGCAGTGGCAGCTTGACTGGGCATCTCAGGGCAACCAAGTCAGTGTTGCCCAGCTCGGGCAGTGTCCTGAGGCTAGAATCAAGCTTTGGAAGTGTCTGTGAAGGATGAGGTGTTCAAAACCCACCGTAGTGCCACCAGGCCCAGGAAATATTAGGAGGGGGAAGGCTCTGGCATTCACATTCTGTAGAGAAGTATCTGTGAGCCAAGGTAAATGACAAGAGGGCTCCTCGGGCCTTCCTGAGCAGGGGACAGACCACTGCAGGGACAGGGCAGAGAAGGCACCACCAGGGACCATAAACAGACTTCCACAGAGACTGGCAACACCAGGATTGAGGCAAACTATGCACTCGGTGATGGGAACCAGAAGCACAGGACCTAGCCATGGGGTGCTCACTGGACTCCAGCCTGTTGTGCACCTATGGGAATGTGGATCTAGGGTGGCCAGACGTTCTGCTTTTAGCCTCAGCTTTTAATTTTTATTATTTATTTATTTATTTATTTTTTTTTTTTTGGAGGGGTTTTTGCTATAGGACGTGTGCGCTCACCAGACAGAGAGAGACAGACAGAGACACAGAAAGCGAGAAATCATCCCCCAGGAGAGATGGCCATGCCGCAATCCTTTCTCCTCTGTTCTCCTCTTGGGATCTTGGGCATGCACGCATATGCGCCTGGCATGAGTTTTAAGCCACGGGGTCTGGGACGCAAACCGCAGTCGGCTACATGGGAGTCCAGTGACATAGCCATTACACTAACTGCTGGTTCCCAGCCTCAGCTTTTTATGTGCAGTTACCTCATCTGTCAGTGTTGGAATGTAAAACAGGTAGTCATCAATAAGTCTTAAAAATTCATAAAGAACAAAAGGAAGATTCCTATAAGGGCTCAAATGCGTGGACTGAGCGTGGGCCGTGAGCTACCCATTGGGTTGCAGGGACAGATGATGAATCTGCTTCCGAGAGAGCTCGTCCTTCAGTAGGGCCAGCCAGCCTTTTAACTCAGAATGCCCTGCCTCACCTAATCCTCACAGCATCCCTTCCCCTATGAGGCTGTCATTATTATCCCTGTTTTGCAAGTGTAGAAATTGACCTAGGCTAGATAGTGCACTGAAGGTCTTGAAGGGACTGGGAAGCAAAGGCAGAATTGGAACCCAGCACGTCTGGCCCCAGAGTTTGCATTCTCACAGCCACGTAGGGGCTGTGGGGTATGGTCAGACTGTGGAGAGGCCATCAGACTGCCCAGCATTCAAACTGGGCTCTGCTGTTGATGTCACAGAGATGGCAGGGCATCGTTAAGGCTGGGTGAGGAGGGAAGGAGACCAGGCAGCAAAGCACTCACCCAGACTCTGGGGCACACGTAATATTCAGCAAAGAGTGGCGTGATTCCAGGCTCTGTAAATGCGCGTCCCACATCCTGCAAGGAGAAGTCTGCTCAGTCTGGCGCTGGGGGAACCTGGGAGCCTTGGAGTGGAGCAAAGCCAATAGGGGAGGCTGAGCGAACCTTCCTCCAGCTGCCTTTCCCTTTTTACTCCCTCGTTTCTCTCGGGGCCCCTGGCCACATCCTGTGTGTCAGAGCCTCCTAGGAGGCCAAGGTGAGTCACAGAGTGAGCTGCTTACCTGACCTGCCCCAAGATAAGGTTCCAGGGTTAAACTACAAGGTGCTGCCTATCTCCTGTGACTAGACACTTCCCTGCAGGGTTCTCCGATCTGACTTCCTCCCTGTCTCTGTGGTCAGATCACCCTGCAGGTCATAAGCAACAGGTCACAGGCTCCTTACTGCCCCTGAAGCTTTCACTCCCTGGAGCAGGTAGGAGGAAGAACATGGCTTCCCTCTCCCAACTCAGTTTCCTCATGTGTGGCTACCTGGTTGGGCCGCAGTGAAAATTCAAGGAGAGAATAACCGTGGCTGTGGGGAGTCAGGTTTAAGATAGATGGAGGTGGATAGGGGGACTCTTTTTTTTGGTGAGGTTTTTGCTATAGGGCACATGCACTCGCCAGACATACAGAGAGAGACAGAGAGGCAGAAAGCGAGAAATCACACCCCCCCCAGGGGGATGGCCACACCACAATCCCTTCTCTTCCATTCTCATCTTGGGATCTTGGGCATGCATGTACATGCGCCCAGCATGAGTTTAAGCCACCAGGTCTGGGACTCGAACCGCGGTCGACCACATGGGAGTCCAGCAACATAGCCATTATGCCAACTGCTGGTCCTAATAGGGGGACTCTTTATAAGCTGCAAAGAGCTACCAAATGTGAGACCCGTGATTTCTGTTTAGTCTTGTTGTCATGGGCCTGTGGGTGATGCAGACCCTGGGAGCTGCCAGAGACCATAAGACCAAGCTCAGTAGACTTCCTGGAGAAGGGGTGTCAGCCCAATTGATGAAGTTTGGCTAGACAGAGAAAAGAGGCAAAGAAAGCCCAGATCTGGTGGGTGGAAGGAGGGGGTAGTCCCTGAGGAAGAGCCATGGGACCCTGTCACAGGGCCAAGCTGGCAGGTCACCTGCCAGGCCATGGTGAGAGAGCCTTGTGTTCTGCCCTAGAACTGCCTGTGGTTACCTTCTCCTTACATGAAAGGGCTTTCAAAAGGTTATGGAAATGCGTATTATAAAGCAGTATGCATGGATTTCAAACATTTTTTTGTACCATAAGAACTTAAACCTTAATTTTACAGACTTTCTGAAGTCCCCTCATAGATCAAGTTTCAGCCATGACATCTCCTTCTTGAAGAAACTTTCATTTCTTTCCTCGACATTTCTTGGATGTTGTGTTTGGGGCAGGCTTTCTCCTCTTCTGTAAGCTCTCTGAGGTCAGAGACTCTGGCCTGTCAGTCATAGCTATACTCCAGGGCCTAGAACATAGTTGGCACTCTATAAATATGTATGGGGTAAATGGATTAGAACCTGTGGAGCCCCTCAGGGCTCTGGGGTATGGGGAAGGTAAAGGCAGAAGTCATAGAAACAACTCTTGGGAGAGAGTGAGGCCTTGATGGGGCCGAAATTGGGGCCTGGGTAGCGTACAGGCTGGGCTGACCTGATGCTTCTGAGCAAGGTCAGTTCTCTTAGCTGAGGGACACCCTGTGGGAGGGAGACTCCTCTGCTTGGGAGGATCCTCAGGGGCTCCTCAGGGGTGGCTTCCTGGAAAAACAGTTCAGGTAGGCACTGTGTACTTTCCTGAGCCAAGAGGTGGGATCAGAGACTCTCCATGTTCACCATGAGCAGTGAACAAGGAGGCCCAGTGAGCATCCCGACTGGCCCTTGAGCACTCGGGGCAGTGGTCACACAGTGCCACCAGAGCATGGCAGGAAGATGGCCTCCTACCCTGACCCCAGGTGACCAGATCCTCACTCCCTGCCATGGCCCAGACATGGATCCACTTGGGGAAGAGCAAAAATATGCTGCTATGACTTCCATCTCCCCTCTTGAAACCTCAGTTTTTCCTGTCCGTCAATTGGGAGTACAACCCTGGCCTTGTTCTGGACCGCCGGATCAGTGCCCCAGGATCCAGCAGTGTGCTACTTATTTAAAGGCATAGGGCGCCAACACAGACCCCCTCAGACTGGCTGTTGTGGGCCCCGTGCACAGCAGATGTGGGGACCTGGCAGAGGAGGGCCCAGCCTGCCGCCACTCCTGGCTGAGCGTCTTGGGAAGGATCACAGATGTGTTTATCACCAGCTCCCTCACTCCTGCTGTGAGGAGACAAGACTCAACCTGACTGCAGGCTCTGGGGCTTGTTGGCAGCTGG